CCCCTTTCCCCTTCTTGTAAAGTTCCCTAGTGGAATAAGGCCCCTCCATGGGTGTTCTGAGGACCTCTATCCTCCTCATCTCTATCGTCTTGGAGGTGGGCGGACTGCTCGCGGCCATGGTGGTTGGCGGGGGTCTCTTCCAATCCGACGAGGTGAGCTCTTCAATAAAGCCCTTATCTTCTCCGGTGCTTCTCCCTCCCCCACTCCCTGGTTGTGTGGGTGGCATGGTGCTGCTTTGATCTAGTTCGAGCAAGGGTAGAGGCATGGATGGCTACAACTCCCACAGCAGTGCCGACAAGGTCACCTACAACACCAAGACATGAAAGCAGTTCGAAGGGACTGGAGTGCCTCGGGTCCTTGCGTCCTTGGGCGAGCGGATCATGCAGGTCGGAGGCATGGCACGCATGCATCTACGTGCCTTCTCGGCCTTCCTGGTCTCCACCGCCTGCGCCCATGGTGGCCGGGGTTGGCTGCATCTCCCGAGCGAAGGAGGTTGCACCGGCCTTAGCGTCCGCAGTGAGGACCGTCGCGGCGGTGCCGTTCACCGCCACGAGTTCCTGCATCCGTCCCGTACGCGGCTTCCTCGGCGCTTCCGATCTGTTCGGTGCGGGTGGGGCCTGCCTGCTGCGCTGTGGGGCCCACCTTCTGTGCTGGGCCCTGATGAGGACATGACACCCATGCATACGGCCATGCATACTTAACAATTATTGAATGTGTTTGTAGATATTTGGAATTAACAAGGATTGTAAGACTCACGTTTGTGAAATGAAAGGCCATTTTTTCTCCATCCCATGCCAGCATATAAAATATTATGAATGCCCCGCATGAATGAATGCAACGAACATAAGAATTAGTAATTGAAGTAGAACATTAATGTAGAAAAGGGAAAAGGAGTACCCGTCTGTTTGTTGCGGTATGTTATGATAAGGAATTCGTTTCCAGGTGTGCAAGTTAACCAAGCCATCGTTGCCCGAAGAATCAATGCATTCTTGTATGCTTTCCACCTAGTGGATGGTGAGATAGATGTTAAATTTGATCGAACTGTAATTGTAATTGAATAGGTTACGTGTTACGTTGTACTTACCAACGCCTTCTCTTGGTTTTCATCTCGGGTTGAGGCTAAAGAGTTAAGTAGCTGGACCTCTTTCTTTATAAAATTTAGCACTAGGAGAGCCCAGTGATTTTTGTTTATATGCATAGGCACAAAAACCTAAAAACAATAATTGCAATAGAGATTACCAAAAATACAGTAACCCGTCTTAATTGACAAAACTTTGAAAAATAAATACGGATATTATCCTGAATGCAAATATCAAGTAAAAGTGTCCAAACAAAATCAGGATTACATACCAAATGCCTTTGAACACATTTGTCGGCAATTAACTTCTTAAATGTTAGGCATTGGTCACCCAGATTATTTGTAGCCAACTTTCTGGCTTGGAAAGTTGTTATGAATGATGCCTCTTCAGTCTCCACGTTGGTAAAAAGATGACTCTGCTGCACCCATCTCTGCTTCAAGAAATGTTGGTATGTTTTCCTGGACAAGGCACTGGAGAAAGGATTGAAGAAGAAAAGTGAAGTGATAATGCTTGGAACATGAAAAAAAAGCAGAATTATGGCAACTGGCAAGTACCTATCATGAAATTTCTTGCTGCATTTCAGCAAAAATCCCATTTAAGAATTCTGCCTTTTTTGCTGTCCAGATGTTTTCCATAGATGCTAACACCAACCACAAAAAGAACTACTCATAAAAAAAACAAAAACAACTTGTGATATTTGAATGGGCTATTTAGACATCACAAATATTTCAATGGCAGATATAATAATAAAATGAAAAACACTCACAATATTATATGCCTAAAAGAAAGTCATTCCTAAAATGGCCAGCACCTGCCATCATATAGATGGTAAGTATGTATTCTGATTTCCGAATGTTGAATCATGCAACAGTAGTGACAAAGGATAGCATTCTTCCTATCCATACATACAGCTGAATTACAATTAAATTTTAATCTCATGCATCAATCCTGGGCTATTAAAAAAGAAGAAATTAACCGCAGAAAACAGGGTGTGAAATGTTCAGTATTTGCTATAGGGGATTTTGACTACAAGCTAGCAGATCCATAGCTACATACAATTTTACGACTGTAGATGAGCGGACAGGGCACAAAACAAAGCAAGTGAGCTACTAAACATTGAATAACTATATATTTTAGAAAGGATCAACACAGAAACAAAAACTAGGTCTGGCAATTATTTCCATAATTCAGCAACTGGTACAATTAGCAGGCTCTCAAGTCCTGAACAAACACAGTTACAAATAGCAACAAAGTCAAGAAGACTACAGTAACAGAGGAAGCCTCTCTAGGGATTACAATGATAAGACCACCAGATAAGCCTCATCATTGGCAAATCATATATCAAGCACATCTTCAGGGAGCTTTGATTCCTACAAATGAAGAGGACAAACATCAGTCATAACTACACATGCCTCGCAGATGGCCTGTTTTCAACTTAGATAAACTACCTCTTTTCTTATGGAGCATGTTCGCCGATTGTGACCCTTATCCTTACACAGGCTACATTTGACCTTAGATTTCTTTGTATTTGAAATTGACTTCAAATTTTTTCTTCGGGGCCCCTCTTCCGGGCACATGCAAGGGATCCAGCACATTACTGAACGCTACAGAAGCAACATTCGGGGCTTGTGGCAGCACCGGACCATACCTCTTGCCTCTGTTATCTCCTTCATTTGGCAGGTTCATAGCAACTTCATCCTGCAGAACGTGTTTCAGCCGCTCATATGATTCAAGTGAACGAGATGCTACGAAGGCTGCAGCTTGACTGATATTGCGTAGCTCATAGTACCTCTGAAGGCTTTCGGAATAGTCATACATGGTGCCCTTCCTTTTCGGAGGAAATGCACTCTTCGCCCCCATTGTCCACCTTTTCAAAACACAACAGTCTGGAAGCTTGTCTTCATCCAGATCGCACAATACAAAGAAGATGTGTGAGCAGGGGGTTCCAATCGATTGTAACTTACCACAAGAACAAGAAATTCCCTTCAGATTGCCTTCATCACAAAATTGACATTTGACATAGTACATCATGTCTCCTTTATCCTTCCTGCCAACAATATACTCACTCATATTATCGCCATCTAGAATGTCAATCGAAAAACACTTCTTGGCTGCCTTTATTCTGAACTGCACTGTGGCGAAAACTGTTGGAGTGAACGATTTCACGGCTTCTATCTCAATAATTGAAGCATCTGGTTCTATGCATGCCTCAGATTGCAATGCATCAGTGTCCAACTTTGCCTCATTTGTGCGCAGCCCTGAAAGGCAGTGCTCCTCGTGCTTTACCATGTCAAGCAGTGTCATTTTACGATCTAGACGCATACGAAGCCTAGAGTTTAGGCTCTCACTTCGTTGGTTGCTCCTCAGTCCTAAGTAGCACTTACCAGCATGATACGAAGCATACCAGATTTCTCTCATATCATACATCTGATACAACCATGACTCCTTATTTGTAACCTTATGCTTATCCAAAAATTCCTGCCATTTTCTCTCGGTCTCTTCTATGGACCAACAATCATAAAGGAAACTCTTGAATTCATCCTTGACAACATCATCCTTAAGATTACGCACAATGTTCTACTCAATATGCCATATGCAGAGCCTATGCGATGAATTCGGCCAGACCAGCCTGATTGCTCTTTGCATGGCAAGGTCTCCATCAGTGATCACGGAGATCGGATGCTTCTGAATCATGGCCTCGGAAAATGTACTCAACAACCACACATATGACTCAATATTCTCATGAGAAATAATTCCACATCCAAAAATAACTGTGCTTCTATGGTGATTCACCCCAACAAAAGGAACAAGGGGTAGGTTGTACCGATTAGTTTTGTAGGTGCTATCAAATACAACGACATCACCAAATGCTTCATAATCAAGCAGACATTGACTATCACACCAGAATAGTCCCTTGATGTGTCTTTCCCCATCAACCATGTACTTGAAAAAGAAATCAGGATTTCTGCGCTAAAGTTCCGTCAGGTAACTGATGACTGTTCGAGCGTCACCGGCAGCAATTGTCTCCGCCTTATAGCGATGGCAGAAATTATACAAGTCCCTTGTTGTACACCCAACCTTATCATACCCACCATACTGCATTTCCAAAATATCCATTATCTTGTGTTTGCGGATCTCAGAACTCTCCATCTCCATAATCTCAACTTTCTGCTCATCGCTGATTCTTCTATGTGAACGTAGCAGACAAGTAAGCTCTGCTGGCGCCATCAGATGGTTGTGTTCATTGATGAAATCCTTCACATACCAGTGCCCTGTGATCTGATCTCGTGCAATCACAAATTTAGCAAGGCATCCAACACGGTAATATTCCGCAGCTTCCGCTTCTTAATCGCCCTCTTCAGCTGCTTCTCTTCACGGAAACCTTGACGACTGCAAACGAACTTTCGAAGAGTCATCTCATTGTGGCCATTGTCCCACTCACAATAGCTTCTCCTCACACTAAATCATTTCTCAAAACCGTAGTTGTTATAGAACTGAAATCCTTCTTCTTCATTAGCAAACAACTTCTTGACAATTTCATTGTACTCCAGCAAAGACTCAAGATCTGACATTTCCTCCTGTATAGATGCTTGTATATTATGCAACAGGGAACAGTAAATTCCAACAAGAAAAGAGATGTGCAAAAGAATTTTTGTGATCATGCTGTAATAGTCCTGAAAAGAATTTTTATGTATCAGTTTAAATATTTATGAAACTTTTGAGTGTGATCATGCTGTAATAGTCCTGAAAAGAATTTTTGTGAACTACAGTCAGGCGCTAAGTTACACAAGCCAAGCACTAAGTCAGAACCTAGCAGGCTTAAGGAAAAAGAGTCCAATTCGCAAGATAAGTACTACATTGAGTTACTACTTGGAGGATAATTGGAAACGCCTATGGGTACTTGCATTATGGATTGGAATAATGGCCGGACTGTTCACTTGGAAGTTCATGCAGTATCGCAACAGGTATGTCTTTAATGTGATGGGCTACTGCGTGACCACTGCAAAAGGCGCTGCTGAAACCCTGAAGCTGAACATGGCAATTATCCTCCTCCAAGTATGCCGTAACACCATTACTTGGTTGAGAAATACAAGGGCTGCACGGGCATTACCATTTGATGATAATATAAACTTCCACAAGGTTAGTCATTAGTTTGTCAGTGCCTCTTTTTATCCTGCCAATATAGTTTCAGAGTTTCATGTTAATGAGTTAATTTGTACCTAAATCAGTTAATTTAGGACTGAAAGGAAGTAAATGGGCATTTGCATCATCTGTTCATGTTGATGCAGGATATTCAACTTTATTTTCACGTGCTTAAACTTATTTTTCTAAAAAAAAGGATCATGTACTTAGTGAGTCTGAATATAGGTGTTTTTTTGAGCAGAAAATACAGCAGGAGAGGCCCCCACTGTAGAAGTCTGAATATAGGTGTTTGCCCTTCTTGTACCTTTTATTCTATGTGTGTACTTATTGTACCAATTCATTGTGAGCCAAATAAATTTATTCAGTTTATCTAAAAAAAGTATGTTCAGTTACTCATGTCCAGTGGGATGCTTAATTCTGTAACAGTTTATTTATGAATTATATACAGAGCATAACAATTACGCAAAACACAAAATGTATTCTGGTTGATGAAGTGATCCATCCTCTCTGTACAGAAACACATCTAGTATTTCCTCTTTTTTTTTTGCCTTCAATGATAAAATATGCTTGCTCATCGCCAACTACCAAAGAATAGCTTTATCATAGTAGAAGATGGCCTATACTTAGTGGCTACAGGGATTTGAATTACATGGAAAGCTACTCACTAGATGCAACATATGAAATATGATACTTTCACTAAGAAAACTAATAAAATAATTTGTTTTGTTGTTTTAATGGGCAGACTATTGCAGCAGCAATCGTTGTTGGTATAATCCTCCATGCAGGGAACCACGTTGTGTGTGATTTTCCACGGCTTATACATTCATCAAATGAGAAGTATGCTCCTCCGGGCCAGTACTTCGGTGAAACAAAGCCAACATACTTTACATTGGTCAAAGGAGTGGAAGGCATCACTGGTGTAATTATGGTTATCTGTATGATTATTGCTTTCACTTTAGCAACACAGTTATTTTATGTATCAGTTTAAATATTTATGAAACTTTATAAGGTGGGTATTCAATCGTGAATAGCGAGAACTAAAAATAAAATTGGAATCCAAGAATGCAGGTTGGCAAGGTGGCACTCGTAGAAAATAGCTAACTAATATGATCGGAGTAGGTTACTAAAGTGTAGACCAGATCGTTTGGGACTTCACTAACATATTGAGTAAACTATCTAACACAGGCAAATCGATCCGGTCAATTTCGATTTGGCACTTTTGGGACCCCACTAACACATTGAGTAAACTATCTAACACAAGGCAAACCGATCTAGCCAATTTTGATCCGGCAACACAACAACCTATGAGGAACACCAAGTGCCTACCCAAATCAAAATTGCACTGCCTGGATCTGAGTATTGCTTGTGCGTCAATATTTGCTTTGCTACATGGATTCACGGTAACAGCAAGATTACAAATATAAGACATGGGTTCAGCACTAGACAGTAGACAGGAGCCCAAAAGATGCAAGCATAATACAGAAGCATTCGATCACGAGACGACCACGACACGTGCTAGGGCGAATGAGGAGCAACGGATGCACGCACCTTCAAATCGATCGTGTCCGGTGAGAGCACGATCGAGCCGAGCGGGCCGGCGACGACGAGGTTCGGCCGAACTGAACCGAGGCGGAGCGCGGCAGGGGTGTGCTCGGATCGATCCCGGACGACACCGCGCTAAGCGATGGCGTCCCCGAAGCAATGGTGAGGGCGAGGGCGAGGGCGAGGTGGCGGCGGCTAGGTCTTGTGCGCAGCCTCGCGTCCTTGGCGGCGGCGGCGGCGTACAGCGAGAGGAAGTTGTGCTCGTGCGTCGCCGCCTTGTAGTCGTGAAGCAGGAGAGGAGCGTCCTTGGTGGCGGCGGTGCGCGTGGGCGAGGGGTGACGGGGGGAGGAGGGAGGAGCGACCGGTGGTGGCGAGGGCAGGCCGGTGGCGGCGGCGCCATGCGATGGCGAGGTGCCGAGGGCAGGGAAGCCTCGTGTCCACGGAACTGCTTGCGTCCTTCGGGTGCGCGTGGGCGAGGCGTGCGGGTTCGGTCGCGCGTGGGGGAGGGGTAGCGGGGGGAGGGAGCCGCAATTACCATATTAACCTTCCACTTATAAAATTAATTAGCGCTAATTAATTGTTTAGGAACTAAGAGGAACCAAGAAGTACCCCCAACCACTGTAAAAAACGCCTAGCAAGCGGGTTGTCTCGTAATACGCCTAGCAAGCGGGTTGTCTCGTAATAACGTACTATAGATGTGCGCCAGATACATAATAATAAAAGCTATATATACCTAGAAAAGCCAGATGACTTGTAAAATTTGGAATGCACAATACAATCCTACGTTTGAGATTAGTCAACTTTCCCAAATTTGACCTATTTTATAGAAAAATATCAATATTTATGTCTTAAATAGGTTCACTATAAAAATATAATTCATAACCAATCTAACGATACGTATTTGATATAGAAAATGTTAGTACTTTTGTGATAGAGCACCACGCTAGAGAGGATTTATAGGGGCGGTTCCATATGGTTTGTAGGTAATTTGGGCCAGCCATCCTTACAAAATCGGTTTGTAGGGGCGGCTGAAAAACCCGCTCCTATAAATCTGTTTTTAGAAATCATAAATCTCGGTAAAAAATAGCAACTTTCTTTAATCTCGGTAGACCCCACTGGACAGTCACAAGTCACATGATTTTTCGCGCGAAAAACGCGCGCTTCGTGGCCGCCGGTGATCACGTGTTACTCTTCTGACCACTACACCTCAAACTCACTTGTGTCTATACTAAATATTATTTCTCTTCAAATTATACTCAACCGAATTTAAAATGAGTTTTTAGACTCTAAACGAATTCAAATGAAAATATGGCCAACTACAAAGTTGTACAACTTTTTGAGATCGGCAACTTTTGTTTTGGTCGTTTTTCCATCTATGGATGTTTGAAAAATTCGAATTTCAATACGTAATTTTGTAGGGTTGACTCTCGATCCAGCCGCCCCTACAAATGATCTAGAGCCGTCGCTACGTATAGATCCATTTGTAGGGGCGGGTAAAAATACCAGCAGTTCCTACGAATACATTTGTAGGGGCGGCTAGTTTTGAAAACCATTTATAGAGACAGTTTTAAATTGAACCGCCCCTAAAATAAAGGAGACGTTGCTACAAATGCTTTTTGTAATAGTGGAGGTGGTTAAAGTTGAAATTGTTTGATTTCTCGTGAAATAAGAATTACGTTCTTTTAGAACTGAGGGAGACTACTCTCTCGTACCCAAATCCTTTGCTTCCCTTGTCTTGTAGAAAATTCTATCATCTTCCTCCAACCATTTATTTCCCCTGCTTTGTTTTTGTTTTGAATTCTATCTCAGTTGTATCCGATTGCCTATACATTTTGGTGTTTGTTAATAATGGCCTGAAGTGAATTCGGTTGCTAAAAGTACAGCTGGGCACAGTGGCGAATCTAGAATTTTAATTTAGGGTATGCCGTCCAAAAATTTTCATATACAATTTGGTAAATGTATTTTAGCAATTCGGCAATAATTGTAAATTTTGTAACATGATTCGGTAAATTCAAGGATCAAGTTGAAATCATCCACTAAATACATTATAAATAGTTCAAATATAGGCATAAAAGAGTACCAGAGACTTACAATGCTATTTTTCTGAATGTTTTATTCGACGCTTTCGAAGAGACATGAATGTCTTGAGTATATCATCTTCATCAACTTCAAAGAAAATATGTCTTGAGTTAGAAGGATTGAAGGACGACATACAAGACAACTCCATAGTACTCTACCAAGAGTGTGCTCTTCCAGCATAGGTTCGACCGGATCAAGGGAATGTTTAGAAGTAAGCCAGGTTGAAAAATACTGTTCGCTGATTTATTATGAGAAAAAAATACTATACCATGACTGATAAGTCTGACTGATAAGTTAAGCGAACATGGCCGCAACATCCGAGTTTCTCTTCATAAGAGCACAAATATTAAACACAATACTAAATAATTAAGCAATTTATTATTTGTGATGTTTGAAAATTGCTATTGAAGTACACAATAATTTTTTTAAATACGAATAGCACAAGAGACCGAATAACAAAATTTGGATTTCATCTAAACAAAATAACGAATCAAGAATCAAGACGAGTAGACGACGAACCTCCGTGAGACTGTGACTATCTGATAATCTAATTAGTGCGACCGTTCAAGCGGCACGGCATGAGGCGGCGTGTTTGATCACTTCGATGTTCCATCCTCTCGCTCAGTCGCCTCCGATCGAGATTAGATTAGGCCATTAGGGATAGGTTAGGGAAATTGGGAGGAAAGTCTCCCGTACTCGCGTGGGCAGTGGGATTGCGTAACTACGTATGCACGGCGGCACCAGGTGACTAGGCCATCAGGGCGTTTCATGGTCCTTTGGTGGATTTACCGCGTGGGTCGCCTCACGTGGGCCTTTCTTGGTGGCGTGATCCAGGATTCCACCAGGTAAGTCATTTTCTTTTCTTTTTTTACAATATAGATACTTATACATTATACGATATACCTATATATAATACTATGCTTACCGGTACTGCAGGGTATGCCAGTGCATACCTGGCATACCCTATGGCTCCGCCACTGGCTGGGCAACACATAAAAGTTGTCTGAGCGTGTTTGCCGTTGTACTCCCCGTAGTCAAGAAGACAAAATCGTAGCAAGGAAATGCATGCCCTTCTTGCTCTATGTTACTCACTCACTATATCTATAGAGAAGTATAAGAATCACACCACACATCCAATGTGGAGGGGTGCTGGATATATATAGCCACAGTCATAATACAATACAAGGAAACTAGGCTATGATTAATCACTATCCTAAAATACATGATCCTGATGGATCCTTTCCTATTGTTAGCCTTCCTAATGAGTCATTTCCTAATACCCGCCCGTAGTCGAAGCGGTAGGAGGATCATGGATGCAGAGGCTGGACCGAAAGTCTGTGAACAACTGCACAGGAAGACCCTTGGTCATGATATCCACGAATTGGTGAGCCGAAGGAACGTGGAGGACGCGAATCTGCCCCAGGGCCACCTTCTCGCGAACGAAGTGGATGTCGATCTCGATATGCTTGGTGCGATGGTGGTGGACAGGATTAGCAGTCATGTAGATGGCGCTAACGTTGTCGCAGTAGACCACTGTAGCCAAGGGAACCAAGATGTGAAGTTCCTGAAGGAGTTGCCGCACCCAGCAGGATTCGGCGACAACATGTGCAACAGCCCGTTATTCGGCCTCTGCGCTGGAGCGGGAGACCGTGGTCTGGCGTTTGGATGACCAAGACACCAGATTGTCACCGAGGAAGATGCAGAAGCCAGAGGTGGAGCGGTGGGTGTCCGGGCGGCCTGCCTAGTCAGCATTGCAGTAGGCGGTGGTCTGGTTGATGGGGCTAGTGCCTAGGTGGAGGTCGGCGGAGAGCGTGCCTTTCACATAGCATAGGATATGCTTAATCAGCGCCATATGCGGCTCACACAGGTCATGCATGAACAAGCAGATCTGCTGAACTGCAAAGGCCAAGTTAGGCCACGTCAGTGTGAGGTACTGAAGGGCGCCGGTGAGGCTTCAGTACTTGGAGGGGTCAGCCGTCGGGGCACCATCGGTGGCAGATAGCTTGGTCTGTGCATTGGCCGGCGTGGCAGTGGGGTAGCACTCGGATGTGCCAGCCTGCTGGATGAGGTCGACGGCGTACTGGCGCTAGGACAGGAATAGACTGGAGTGATCTCGTGTCACAGCGATCCCGAGGAAGTGATGGAGGTCGTCGAGATCCATCATGGCGAACTCCAAGTGGAGGCGAGCCATGACATGCTAGAGCAGCTCAAGAGATGACGCAATGAGGATGTTGTCGTCGACTTAGAGGAGCAGGTAGGCGATGTGGGCACCCTCTTTGTACATAAAGAGGGAGGCATCGGACTTGGAGGCAGTGAAGCCGATGGAGCGGATGTTGCTGGCGAATCGCTGGTTCCACGCCCGTCACG